ATAAATTCAATTATTCCTCTACACTGTTTTTGAGGGTTTGTCACAAAATGACTCCTTCTAAGAAGCGAGAACTGATTATTATGTATCCACGCCTACTCAGCGCTGGTAAAACTGTATATTCTAAGGCATTAAAGCTTGAAGCTCAAAATGTAAGGACTAGATTACGGTTCAGCTACCATATTGGCTTATTAAGAGCTATGTACCGCTTGAAGACGAGGCAAATCGTACTAACTATATCTATACCAAGTTTTGGATCCACAGCTCCAAATTGACAGTTAAGTTTCTGCAGTTTCCCTCAAGAGACTTACCAAAAATGATTTAACGAGCGAGTATTATGCAGTCGGGACTGTCCGACAGCAACATTCTTACTTTTTTGGCTTATATATATATAATATAAATATATATATATATTTTATATATGGTCCATAACGCTAACGATAATGAATGCAATCGTATCTCAAGCACGCATAATAACAATTAATTTCTCAGATTAATGTCAGACAACTAAAAACAATTGTTGAGTGCATTAACCGGCGTGCATAATTTCGCAATGATATTTATTGTAACGACTTCTTGCACTATTTAATGTTGGCTCGAAGAGGCCCAGCAACAATTACAAAGGCGAACAAGCGAGAAAAGTCAGTTGAAATGGAGACCGTCACGCAGAGTGCGAATGCGGAAAATGGGTGGGAAATGCTGAAAATGCTGGAAATGCAGTGCGGCACGCGAGGCGTAAAAAACGACTTAAAACAAGTAGCACCTAAAACAAAGAAGTAACAACAGCTACAACAGCAGCAGTTGGCTTAAATATATAAGCACAAATAAAACTTGATAGGATTTAGCTAAGTTCAAATTATAGTTAAAATTAATTAAATTGCGAAAGTTTGCATCGAGAATTTGTGACATGTGCGAATGGTCGAATAAATTCCAAATGTGTGTGTGCGTGTGTGTGTGAGTGTCTGTTTGAGCTTGTGTGTAATGTCGCTGGAACGTGTGCGCTTTTAATTTGATTTCGTCTGCAAATTTACATGTCTGCCAGTCTAAAATCGAGCAGGGCGAATCTCTCCAGTCTCCGGCAATTTGTCTGTCTGGCGCTCATTTGACACTCTCTGCTGCTCGTGAACCACTTAGCCACTGCTCTCGCTCGTGCCCTGCCATGCTGCATGTAATTCGAACCCTTTCGCCAATTTGCGCCACTTGGGCATTAAAACCGCAGATTAACAGCCACACGGGGTAGTTAAAACTTTATGTTGGCACAGGGTGTCGCGGGGCTTTGCCTTTGGCGTTGGCTTTAGCTTGTGCTTGTGCTTGTGCTTTGCCTTCGCATCGCACTCGCAAACGTGTCATTTCAAATTTTCTGTAGCTGTGGAGATGGGAAAAAAATACGCCACGAAACGTGCCGATAACACGGTGTCGCACATTTACCCCGCCTCCCTGCTTGCGACACGCCCTCGAACAGTTCAAAAGCGAGTGAGAGAGAGAGAGAGAGAGAGGGGAGAGGGAGAGAGAGAGACAGAGAGAGTGAGATTGAGAATGTGAGATAGACAACGACAAAAAAAAAAAAGAAAAGAAAATTAAGCGAGAAAAAAACAACAACAGAAAATCGGAAATTAAACAAAACCGAAACGAAATGGAATTCGCTTATCGCGCCTCATAAATTTACCCTTGCACCGTCCGAACAGACTGTGGGTGAACCGCTTTTCCCTACCCTCTCTGTCCATGCCGCCCACTTGGCAAGTAAGCAAACAGAATAGATAGATTCAGAGACAAAGACAGAAGCGGATAGAGAGAGAAAAAGACTGAGGAGCCGACTAAGCGTTAAGTGGTCGCTTAGGTCGTGTAGGCCGTGGCCTGAAGCGGCGTTTATCTGCGCTCACCAGACACGGTGCAGATGCACATGCTCATGCAGATGCTGTAGACCCGGAGACGCGTTCGATCCACTGCTAATGACATTGGCATCCGCAGCACAGCTACAGCCAGATCGAAATAGTATTCGTAATCGTAATTGAAAATGAAATTGAAGCAAGCGCATTGTGCTGTGCAGTCAGTCGCTTTGCCCGCTTTGACAGAGTTACGATTCGAAGTGAGACTACAAAAACTGAACTGTGGCGATTGTCAGTTTGATTCAATGCCGCCTCAGTGCGACCCCAACCCTGGTGCGATCTCGTATCATGAGTTATGATTATGGCATGTTTTAATTAATAAAATTAATGAATATAATTGTTTAGCGCGCTGTTCATGTTATCGCCAAAAAGGTGATAAGCCAAACTAAATGAATCGCTGAACATATTCCAAGGATCACATCACCTCAATCAGCATTACCTATAATTAATTACATTAACTAACAAACTACAAAGGCTTTTCTTGTTTGTCTACAACTTGCACTTCCCCAAGTACGAAGTGCTTACAAATTCTATGTGAAGTAAATTCTTCTTTTATACAATTTCAAAAGATATATACAAAGAGCGAATGCGAAGAAAAATATTGCTCAATTGATTATTTGACAACGATTTTTCTGTATTTTGAGGAAAATGGGAAAATGTTCCGCGAGTCTTTAAAATGAGATCTTTATAACGTAGTTAATCGATATTTATAAAATGAATTGTTGAAATAGTAAAAATGTTGTTATATGTTCTAAATTACTGATTATGCATTCAGTGCGATTCCCATTTTTCAAGGGCTGCAATCGGGAGTATGTGACTAACAGATACCCCGACGCTTTTATGTAATTAATATTATTCTACTCGAGGAGAATTTCTATATCAAAGTCGAGTTTTAGCACAGTTCATGGCAATCAATTTCTGTAATTGGGCAGAATCTAGTTTATATAACCAGACTTCCATATGCCCGTGACAAACACCTTAACAATGCCATTATACCTTCCTTAGCCTGCATTTCTAAGGGTTGCAGGGTATACAAGAGGGAAAAGTCAAAAGTAATTTAGGCCAAACGCTTAGAAAGAAACGAAACTACAACATCTGTAGACACAATTGGATGGAAAGCGAGTTAATTACTTGTCAAACAGCCGCTGTTAGTGTTGTAAATTGCGAAAATGACTCCGACAACACTCCCATAGCACTCGCTGTGATTTATTTACAGAGCAAACAAACGAAGCCAGCGGCGATCGGATGTGTGTATGTAGCTAAAGAGTGCGGATCTGGGGACAGACTGAGGCAACTCGAATATCAAACGATCTGTGAAGCTAAAAGCGAAGCTTTGGCACGTACTCAAGTCGCTGGAGCCATGAACAGACTCTTTCACGGTGCCCCGTCAAATTGGACTTCAAATTGAAACTGGCAAGCAGCTTGGAATTCAGCGTCAATTAAACGTTTTCTAAACTTTGTCCAGCTAGGACGATATAGAATTTTGAAGGTAGCTAAAGTCAGAGTAAAATGAAGTTGATCTACTCTGCGTATACGTAACCTTAGCCATTCACGATTCCATATATATTCCATCATATTCCAATTGAATTAAAACTCATTTGTCTTATGTTATTCAATTGCGATAATAACATATGAGCATAATTTTATATGGTTCAAATAAAATGCTTCTAATTCGAATTAATTAATTCCCAAATTAAAGTGGCTATATAGAACCTTATAGGCTAATTGGTGCAATCGGGGCAACGAAATTGTTACGTGTCACATATAAACCAAATCGAATGGCGGACGCAGTCGTTAATCTTTTTATGACTCCCATTGTGTACGAGCATGAGCTGGGCTACTCGTGTTTTTTTATTGTTGATCACGGTCTTTTTCTGCATTGAGATACTAGCATTTTATAGGTGATGTCGTTGAACTAAGTAATTAAGGCGAAAGTCGCAGCGACTCTCCTCTGGCTGCACATGGAATGGATGAAAAAAGCTTGAAAGTTACCGAGATTGCCCCTAGCTCAATATCGGGCAGCAAAAGCAACGCCATTATCAGGCACATTAAGCAGCGATCGTTTCGGTACTCAGAGTATGGATCAGAGCCGTAAACGTTGCGGTAGTCACATCGGCGATCATCGCTATGCGTGGCGCAAAACCATCCGTAAAATCGTAAATAGATCATAAAACGCTCGTAAAATCAATTTAACGACAACAACAGCAACCACTGCCGTAACAGAGAACGCAACACGATCCACGTCGACAATTAAATTGATCAATCGCAATAAACTGCGTTTACTTGAGCTAAGCCTGAGTTCGACGCGATTCGCGATGAGTTGGGTTGAGTTGAGTCGAGTCGAGTTGATTCGAGCCGAGTTACACTCATTATTATGGCTTACTTTTTAGCGCCTCGAATTTTGTGAATTTGGTTACGTGCCCAATTCAGATACGGCCATTATTATGGGCATCACACACACGCTGCTGGTCCGTACTATGGGGGGCCTGGGTGCCACCATTTTAATAAGCACAGAGCGCCGAGCAGTCTATCAAAGTGATTTACGATCTTGCCCGACACTTGACTCGCATGCTATATTGGCACTCAAATTTCTGTTTCGTTTCCAGCGACTTTCACAGTATCAGAATGGAATGCATTTGCCAATTGCCAGTTGCTACTTGCTGCTTGCTAGTTGCCAGTTGACAGTTGACAGTTGTTAGTTGCTAGTTTTCAGTCGCCGGATGTTTCCATTGTCTATGCGAAAGATGCTAGCCAGAAAATGACTTCAATAAACAAAACGATCGGCATTCAATAGGATTGAAAAGATTGAGCCCGAGGATTTATGACAGGTCGCTGCAAGAGTCACTGACGGCAGCCAGCAGACAGCAGGAGTGAGTCTTGTGACGAATGAAGCGAGAAGGGTTCAGCTGGCCGCTGGCATCTAGCGGTGTAGCAGCAGGTAAAGATATGCTTTTCAAGGACATTTCGGCGTAAAAAAAGGAAATTATGAAAAATGTTAAAGGCAGAGGTATTTCATACTTTATAATTCATATTTAAGCACACAACCCATTGCCCAATGCCATTTGAGGCATTTGTTCAAGGGTTTCGCTCACTAAGGGTCTTACGAGAGGTACTTACCATTGAAATCGCCACAAACGACACGCTCAAAGGGACTTCCCATCCAATCTGTAAAAAAGAAATTAAATAAATAAATTGCTCTGAGTTTTTAAAGAAGTTAGCAATTGTGAGTTGCATATGTCAAATTACGCGCTTAGCCTTGAGCTTAGTAAAGGAGTGTTGACTACATATGGTGCATGCAGACACTCAGCCACACACACACACACACACACACACATGTATATTCAGCCAGCCACACATTACTTTTTCCTTTCCCTTTTTGCATTCCGATGACCTCACTAATTATGTGCCAATCTTTTTTTTTAGACTTTTCTTGCATAACTTGCGATTTGTACTCTCTTCCATTAACTCTTTGTGGTTTTTACTTTAGCCTAAGCCACTCAATCAAACCATTTTAAACTAAGTTGTCAGCTTCATTTAGAAAAGGCTGAGCTGCAACTGCAACACCCATTCCTACTCCAAGGTCCAGACCACCAACAAAGTGGCCAATGACCAGTGAACAGTTGCGCCGACTCCGTCCAAAGTGGACCACAACGACGACAAAGACAACGACAACGACAACGACAACCACGACGACGACGTGACGCCTAATTAATAAGCAGATGAAGCTGCTCGGCGTCTAGCCCAGCGCGTTTTTAATTAAAATACACAAATTTCAGTGCAGTTGCCCTGTCGCTGTTGGCATTTTATGATACGAGCAGACAATCTCTAATATATATGCATACGTATATGTATGTACAAATGTGCCGAGTCGCAGTCAGTAGGGGCTGAGTACGCTGGGTAGGGTATTCTGTGTTCTGTTTTGTTGCTTCGTGATTTCAGAATTTATGCGTACGAATTTATAAATTAATTTAAGTAACACGTTTTGAGACAGTCTCTCTCTCTCTCTCTCTCTCTCTCTCTCTCTCTCTCTCTGTCTCTCTGTTCCCATCTCGACTTCTTTTGCTTCAATGCACGTAGTGCACTTTCAAATTTCAATACGCTTGCGTTGCTTTTCCAGGTAATTAAGAAAAGTTAACCTCTTTCTGCTTTCTTATCAACACAATCAGGCGCAGCAACTGCTCCTCTTACTGCTTGCAATCTGCAAAGTTGCTGTTGTTGTTGTTGTTGTCTGGCTGTTGGTTGGTGCAACGATGTGAAAATGAAAATTCATTCAGACGCCTTGGCGTAAAATATTAAAATTCATTAGTTAAATTGCATTTGGCAAAGCATTCTGTAGCTGCGTCCGGGTCTGGCTGCCGTTGCTCTTTACTACGTCTTGCTTTGTGTTAGTGCCTGAAGAGAGAGGCAGAGGGAGATAGGTAGATACTGAGAGAGAGAGAAAGTTAATGTTTAGTGGAGTACGAGTTGGTAAAGAGCCAAGGATGGCAGCATTTGCCATCTCTTGACTGCGCACCGATGCGCGCTCTCGCTCTCTCTCTCTCGCTCTTGCACTCCCTCTTTCATTAAAGTGCATCTGAATTGTTGTTTCCATGTGAGTTGCATGTGTGCGTGTGTGTGTGTGTGTGTGACAGCGACGATGTGTCGCGCAGTTGGCTGCCATAATGGCGTCATGCTCATATTTACTTTCATCGCAGCTATTCTATGATCTCGTTGACAATTTTATGCTGTTGTGCTGCGAGCTAAAGATATGCAAAATATTTCATTGTGCGAAATACAGTTTATCTTTAAGTCGCAGCCTGTCCTAAACAGATTTCCCAAGTACTCGATCTGTTTTCTTATTTCTTATGACAAAAACTGCAAGTGGCTCAATAATGTTTAATGACGTCTTAGCTTTACCGTTACAAATCGGCAGGATCCAATTCTCATTTGATTCGAATTTTGATGGTGCTATGCATAATTTTGTAGTTGAGGTAAATAAATACTCAACATTGATTTTAAGCTGATTTGAAATAAAAATGCTTAAAGAAAGTTTGGGAAATTATATATCTTCCAAACTATGTTATATGACCTTTTGCTGCTCGTATTTTATTAAATAATTAATAATAAATTGACGATAATCGGTCTCTTGATAAATCTGATAATTGACTCTATATTCATAATTTTGCAAATGCCATAACTCAACCACAATCGTGGGGAAAAACTGAACATATTAAAGAAAATCATGTTGATACAAATATCAATCAGCTAAGTATAAAATTCGAAGCACAAAGCGCAGCTCGCGTAAATTAAGCTGACCCACATAAGTTTCGCGCGAATATTGTACTACGTTTAACGCATAAAAAAAGATTCACCCCAACATGAAAAAAAAGCAACAACAATAAATGAAAAGCAAGCATTGACATGGCAACAAAAACAAAATGTATCTGTATCTTTTGCCGAGTATCTGACGCTGAGTGATTGCAAGTTTTGTATGCGCGGGGGCACATCTGAGCATATAAATATGTGTGTGTGTGAGTGAGTGTGTGCTTGTGTGTGTGTGTGTGTGTGTATGTTGTTGTCTGGCAACCTTGAAGCTATTTAAATTACAAATCGACGAGCCGCTTCACAAAAAAAAGAAGCAACAACAACGAGCAGCAAGCACCACACACATTTTTCAACTATTTTCAATTTTATTTACTGCCGCCACTTTTTAGCGCTCTGTTCGGTTGTCTGTTAGCCAGTTTCAGCGTCATTTCATCTATGCCTCCGACAACCCGTCCGAAATTATTTTGTATATCTTATTTGTTGGAAGACTGATGCGAATCGAACGACTTGGCAATGCCAGCAAAGTGTTTATTATGAATTTTGAATTGGCCCAGAACGAGCGCGTTTATCTATTGTTTATAAGCCCGAATGGCCATAAAGGTATACATTAAATGGCCGGATTCGAGAGCAAATCATTCGGCCCCTTCCCTCTCTCATGCTGCGCCACCTTGATTTATGCACAATCTAATCGAACTTTTTATGTACATTTATGTTAAATAAATTGGTTTCTAACAAGCCAACACCCACTATTCGTAGCATTCGTTGGTTGCCATTCCTCACTCTATCCCTCTATGTTTATCTCACTTTATTGATGCATCTCTCTTTCTCTGTGCACTTGTGTCCTTGTTCTCCTACTCCTATTTTCTACTACTCCATTTTCTTTTTCTAAATTGATTCTTCTCTTCATCGCAAACTGTGCTTTCTCCAATTTTTCATCCACTTAATTATTTTTATCGCTCCCTCTCTCTATATTTGCTACTTGCTTTCTCTCCTTCTCTCCGGCTTCCCTTTCATTCTCTCTCTTTCACTCCGTTCTCCTCCCCTCTCACACTATTTCTCTCTCTCTCACTTTCTCCCCTCTCTCCATCTTTTTCTTTCACTCTTAATCATTCTTTAACTATTTTGTTCTCCTTCTCTCTCTCCCCTCTCTCTCTCTCTCTCTCTCTCTCTCTCTCTCTCTCTCTCTCTCTCTCTCTCTCTCTCTCTTATTCTTTTCTTTCTCTTTCTCTTTCTCTCTGTCTCTCTCTCTCTCTCTCTCACTCTCTCTCACTCTTAATCATCGCTTCCCTCAGCGAGCGACTCACCTGTGAGCGTCATCCACGGATAGCGTGGTAGATCCGCTATACTTTGTCCGGCACCACCGGCTCCAGGAACAACGCCGGATGCGGGCTGTGTGCAAGCGTTGCCCAGCGAGTCTACGCCAATGGCTCCTGCGCTGGCCGCGGATACCGCAGAGGCTGCCGCTGCGTGCTGGTAGAACTGTGCAAAGCTGGCGGAAGCCGACGCAGGTACGCTCATTGATTGGTAACTGTTCATCACGGTGTCTGTGTACCTGCTGGAAAAGCAAAAAGAAGCGATAGGCGATTAGCATATGCGTATGTGTGTACGTGTGTCCGTGAGCGAGAAGCCTCATCTAGCCTATAAAAGTCAACTAGTTTGATGCTAATGAGCCACACACAGCGGACTTGACCAGACCCATGTCTCGCCTACACCAACTGTGATTTCATTTCAGGTTGCACTAATTCCGTAAACGTCACACCCGCGGCGTCGACCCGCCTCTTACTTACGAGCAAATATGCAAATGGCCCTGCTAGAAGGTCAATGTGCGTGCGAATCTTGCGGCTTGCGGCTTGCGACAAATTGCCAGCAGGCACCACCGCAGCGCTGTTCTAATTTTCCCAGTGGTCATTCGAATACAATGGTCCTAAACAGACACTTTATGAATGGTCAATGGACTTGTCGATAATTAGAGCACACTTCAAATGGATTTGCGGTGGCCCAATGAGGATTATGGTTTCGGGTTTCGTGTTTTGGGTCAAGTTGAAGGTTTGCACTTCTAACAACCTTGACTCAATAACTCATTAATAAACTCAATTTAAGCAATGTGATTTATAATCTAAAGATCAGACTTTCTTGTTCTGATTTCTTTAAAAAGCACATTTCCAGCGGGCACTGACTATGACAACGGAAAGCGGATAGCTAATAATAATCCATAGAACATTAAGTTACCTTTCGATGCGATAATTGTATCGATAATTGGCATCGATAATTGTATCGATGACATGATTGGAATTTAGTCTAAACAGAAAACAGCAGATTTAAATTGAATGTAGAGTTAAGTTGAGTTTAACAATGGTAAGACCTTTCCATTCAACTAAGCTTTCGCCCTCTGCTAATTATTCTATGAATTCATTTATCGAAAATTTTAAAACCTGATATTTTTCTTCAAGTCGTTTGTAGATCTTGAAATAAACTGTTTATGTTTATATCAAAGAAACTATTTGTTTCGTTACCAAAATACATTTTTGAAAATATTCTTTATGTGTTTCAACTGCTGAGCCCATGATATTTGTTACTTTCCATATAAGAATCAATTGGAAGATCAGTCAATAATTACGTAGTTGGTATTTCATCTCTTTACTGTCATCTCTGTTACTGTCTACTGAATGGGAATACCATATATATGATGACATGAAAATGTAATCTGAAATATCTCCTATTAGTAAGACATTTTAATATTTGGTAATTGTATTTGTAATTGTATTAATATAACTTTAGATGAACAAGTAATAGTAGCCCGTTCGAGTGCTATTATATTGAGCTCACCTGCATGATTTATCTTCGAGACCAGAGAAGCCGGGCATGCCGGATAGGCCGCCGTGGCTGGTTGGATGATTGGAGACGTATGGGTACATCTTGCTGGTGGGTATGGCAAACGAGGAGCCGGTCGCAGGAGAGGGCGATGAGCTGCTATCGCCGGTCTGTGAGTTGCCCGCCGAAGGTGGTGTCAGCAGCAGTTGCTGATGGGCGTGGCTCAGCGACTGGTGGCCACCAAGACTAGAGACAGATCCTTGTGAGCTAACCGCAGCTGCTGCGGCGGCTAACTTGTTGATGTGCTGCTGCTGTTGAAGCTGAAGAGCGGCCGACAGAGACGAATACTGCGACTGCTGTTGCTGCTGTTGCTGCTGCTGCACAGCCGAAGAGGGCGACGACGAAGAGACCGGCGAATTGGATGACTGACTCAAGTGCTGTTGGCTTAGTTGACTGGCGAGCTGCAATCCACTGGAGCTAGGCGATAGCGACGACGACTGCAAATGGCTGTTGCCGGCACTGCTGCCCGGATGAATGCCAGGTGAGGAGACGTTCGATGCTGACGCGGCTGCTGCGGCGAGGGCGGCGGCAACTGCTGCTGATGACGAATTTGTGGGTGCTGTAGTTAAGTGCGAACTGATAAATGGCTGAAACTGTGGGTACTTTGGCAGCATACTATCGAAAACAAATTTTGACATTGCACATATCTTTTTCTCTGGTCGAGAATTTGTCAATTTGCCGAATTGCCTCGGTAGTCGGTAGATTGAGTTATTATTGGTTTAGTACATTTAGCTGATGATGCCTGAATATATGGCGATTTGGCAGCTATATTATCTGAATCAATGGATAAAAACTTATTGTTTGCTTTTCTTTTTGCATGTGTATGTTCTTTGTGTGTTCTTTAACAAATTTTGTTTGAATTCAGCCAAGAAATGGATTTTCCTAAGGACACTTTTGCAACTTCCCTTATTGAACTTTGTATCTTTTTGCAATGGCTTGCCTTAGTTTCATTCTGAAACATAAGCAGACGATTCAAATTATATTTTACCTGTCCACGACAACTGTGTTTAATATAGTTTCGAAGAATTCTGAGCAGGAGTGAAATAAATATCGTTTCAAGGACCACTGAAGGGAATTGTGGTTACGCCTAAGGCGAGTCTTATTTATGTGAAAGATCGGAGAAAGTAAATAAGGATTAAGAGAAGCGAAACACTCGAATGAAAGTATTGAGCTAAGCAGATAACAAATATCGATGTGAACGGACTTCCCTACAATCAAGAAAAATATTCTTCATATTGAAAAAATGTTCCATGATTTAATAATTCTTCAATTAATTTTGTATTAATCGCTAAATAATTAAATTAAAATGCACTTAAATTAGAGGGAACTGTGAACACATAAATTATAAAAATCATGAACAATAGCCGACACGATAAGCTCTTGAAAATATTTGCAAACAGAGTATAAAAACAGATAGAAAAATCTATAGGCGTTTTCCTCTCAGATACACATAAAAAGAAACACAAAAAACACATAAAGCAATGTGAATATATATATTCAGATGGAAAATAAATATTGTTTTTCTATTCGCCTGAGCATGACTGTCAAATCATCAGAAACGGTGCCAGAGGTTAGTGGATTTTGAATTTAGATTCGGGGCAACGTTAGTAATAGATTAGTAAAGGGTTTCAGTGTAGGTAGTTAGACTATTTGGGTATTAGGTCTTTCTCATTTGGGTTATAAAGGAGTTATTGTGAAAACGATTTTTTACCTTTTGATCGAGCGGCTCTCTCTGGGTTTAATCTGTCTAAGAAAAGTGCGTTTTATGTCTGTTCAGCAAACAGTTTGGCGACCAATTTGCGTGCAACGCGTTTCAATTGAAATTGTTGCAAGGCGAATTCGCAACAAAATTTGTTAAATTTTGTAATGGCAGCTGCTCCAATGTGTGTGTGCGTGTGTGTGTGAGTGTGTATGTGCGACGTTTATTTGTTGTAAAAGTAATTAAACTGTGGCCATCAATTACACGGAAAATGCTCGAGGCGCGGTCTGCCGTCGCTTGATTTATAGGCGCGCGATTTTTAATGGCTGCGACGGCACTTGGCACTTGGCACTTGGCACTTGGCACTCAGCAGTCGGCAGTTGTCTTGGTCGGGATATTCGAGGGATTGGATCAACTGGGGCGTTATATTTTTATGGCCTTTGGATTTTTCTTGCGATGATTCACAGTCACAGTTTTCGGAGCGTGGGTAGAAAGCCCGACGCGTTTTCTTTTCAGATTTACGACCTTTCGAGTGCGTGTGGCAAGCTGTAGTCGATGGATAGTTGAAGGGGAATTGGATTTTAATTGCTTTGTTTTAAATGGCATAAAACACTTTTCCGGCTCCCAGGTAGGTTGAAAAACTTTACGACTTTTTAATATTTATGTGCACTCATTGTTGTGACAGTTTTCTTTTTGTATTTTACACGCAGGAATTACGGACGATTACAACAAAGTAAAGTTGAAGTTGTAGTTAAAGTATGTAGTTTTCTTGATTGATTGCTATTTGATTGGATTTTATGATAGTGTGTAAATATACTTATGATTATTGCCGTGGCTGATGCTGCTGTTGCTGTTGCTGTTGCTGTTGCTGTTGCTGCTGCTACCGGTGCACACTATAAACCGCACTCTAATGCCCGTAATAAGCGGCAACAGTTAAACACAATAAGAATGCCACAAAATAATAAACAGAGCGATTGCGATTGCGATTGTGACTGCGACTGCGATTGAGAGTACGAATGCGAAGGCGAACGCGTGGAGTATCGAATCGAATCGAATCGGAACGGAACGGATCGAATCGTATCGGAGATCGGCCAAGTCAAGCTGAGCTGAGCTGAGCCGAGTTGAGTTGAGCTGCGAGCGCTGTTCCGCAGACACTACTGCGCGCCACGATAATAAATATTATAATAAAACGAAATTTTTAAAAGAGTATAAAAATTTCGTGTAATTGGTAATTTTTGCTGCCAACGCTGGCAGAGGCGCAAGCAGCGCAGCAGTTGGCGACTGCGTCGATAGTGGAGAGTTGGGTTTGAGTTTGTCTGTCTGTCTGGCTGTCGACGTTTGACTGGGGTTTTGCTACGCCCGTGTTGTTGGATCGCTGTCTCCGTTTCGTTGCCGGGTACGGGTAGACGGGTACAAGTGGGTGCGGGTCTTTGCTGCTGGCGCTGTGTCCGCGTCGGCCGTTGTGGCGTTACGAGCAGCGAAACGTTTATGGCGCAATACAAAAGCCATGCGAGGCTGAGGCCGCAGCTTTGGCCACGCAGAGGCAGTGTCGCCGTCGCCCAGTCAGCAGCAATTCATTTCAAGCGCTGCGCTTAGACTCACACACACACACACACAAATGCAGGCGCGCATTTACACGCAAATATGCAGTCAATAGTCTCATGCCTCTGCCGACGCCAACAGCACAGCGGTGGCAATAAGAAATACAGACTTCATAGCTATTTGTCTCGCTCGCTCTCAGCGAATCGCAATAAACGGAACAGCAGCAGCAGCAGCAATAGCAACAGCAGCAGCAGCAGTTGCTCTTGCTCGTCATGTATACATGCACACATATAGCGAGCGTATATGTGTGCGTTTCGTGCGATGTGTGTATGCGTGCGCTGAGGCATGATGGCCGTTCAGTTTGAGTCGGAGACAATACAATTGAGTGAAAGAGAGAGTTTGAGTGAGATTTTTGAGCTGTTTTGTGTGGAATTTTCTTATACGATTTCTGGTTTTTTAGTGCGCAGCCAATGGATGCTTAATTTTGATGTTTATAACGTGAGAATGCGAATGCGTATGCGCTGAGTGCCCACATCAAACACACACACACAGAGCATAGCAATTGCCACAACAACAGCAAGTGATGAGCAAAACTATCTCTTGGAGTGCAAGGGTTTAAGCTCAGTACGAGACAGTGAGAGAGAGAGAGAGAGAGAACGAGTGAAACGCTTTCTTAAGTGTTTTATGCTTTGTTTGGCAAAATGTTATTATTGCTTAAATTATTTTGTATTATTCAGGTTGTTTATACCTACAACTTTTTATTTACTTGTTTCTTGTGCGCGATGTGGCACATGTGACAAAAGCGCGCCAAAAAGCGGACAAATATTTCGTGTCTTCTGTTGAACACTTTGGTTTTACATATGGAAGTTTGAGTGATTTCATCTACAACAGAAAGCGTTATTTACACGTTCACAAATACATATGTTATGCCTGGTATTTTATTATAAATTAGTTCAAATTTGAGACATTGCAAATTTTTATAGCAATCTTTTATTACACTCATAAAAATTCGTATGTCCCTAGGACTCTCTGTCACCCCTCTCCGGCAGCCATGCCTCTCTCTATTGCTCTCAAACTCAAATTTGCGAGTGTGTGTGGTTTTTACCCTTAAGCGAAAATTTGAAAAAAAATCCATAAATTCGAGAGATGAAAAACGCCGACACAGTCAAAGTCTGTTTTCATTTTCATTTTGTTTTGTAGTTGTTATCGTGCTATTGCTGTATTCTGTATTCAGCCATTGTCACTGAAATTACTGTTATGACATTTTTATGAAAAACTTCAAATTTACGATCACACAACAGAATATAATTTTTCGGCGTCCAACTTATGCGGAAATGTAACGAATTCGCAATTTGTGAACTTAGCCACTTGCTCGATGTTTCGGATTTTTTTCTCTTAGTATAAAAGACAGACAAAAGGGCAGTATGTGTCACAATATCATCATACAATATATAACTAGTAAATTATATATACTGTAGGGAATGATCATTAAGTAACGAATACGGTACTTTTGTCTCGAATTAAATATGTGTTAACTCAATATATTTTCAGATATTTCATTTACCTTTCATATCATATACCGTTATGTGGTCTATATATATCATATTAGACTCGTCTTAAAATACTCTGCAATCCTTAAGAGATGTACGTTAAATATCTGTAGTATTTCTATGGATAAAGAGAACACCGTTATACAAGACGAAAAAACTAATAATGTTAAGTTTATTTAATTTTATTTCACTTTATTTTTAAGAGTAGGGAAATATTCTCAAATTGTATATACATATATATATTTACATATTTCTTTCAAATAAATTTTTTTTATTGCAGTTGACATTACATTGAGTATATTTTATCATATGTTGATAGATAATTTTATAATTAAATATAATATAAAAAATACTAAATATATTATTATACTATTGTGTTTCCAACAGACTATGTTTACCTATTATATTACTGTAAATGCTTGAATGAAGTTATATGAATTTGATATAATTTAGTTTTGATTGAATTTTTCAACTTCAAATTTGGAGTCTGATGAGCTTTAAAATCAAGATAGGTTGATCTCATAGAAAATCGCCTTTTTCTAACAGATTATTGAATTACTCAAATCAAGTTTCTTTGCTCTTGAAACTTAGCTAAGCAGTTATTCAAAAAGATTTTGAAAGAATAACGACCAATAAAAAAATTATCTTAGAATTCTTCTTGAAGTACAATTCGGAGTGCTTCTAATACATCGAAAGGTAACTTTAACTTTTTCAAATCGTGACACACTTATTGAATTAAGAAATCAGATTATTTTGAGAATTGTTTTTGCGTTGGCGTTAAGAGCTCAATAATCGATCAATTCTTCAGCCATATTCCACACACTTAACGCCCTGCCAAATTGCAATTTTTATGGCTACCCAGCCAGTTGAATCTGCTGGGGGTCTACAGTCTACAGCCTACAGTATACAGTATGCAGTCTACAGTCCACAGCTCGCAGTGCTTAAAATTAATTGCTTTATTGGTCATACAAGTCAGTCACAAGTCGCGCTGCTGCTGTGGCTTTAAGTGAGTGTGAGTATAATTCCGAGCTCTATGTTGAGTGGCATTTTGAGTGCAGTCTGATTGCTCCAGGCACGCCGTGATTTACGGCACCTGCATGAAGCACCGGAACGTGAATGGATTGAAGAGGAGCGCCGTGCAAGGGGCGGCCAACGACCGGAAAATGCAAACCGGCAATTTTGATAATCAAAACAAATAATAAAACAACTTCACACGTTATTGCTAAATAACTGGGCATGAAAATAACAACAAAGAGCCAGAGGGAGTACACACACACACACACACATACACACAGAGGCGTGTGTATGTAAACTACTCGACTGTGATATAAAAAGACCAACAGCAACAACAATGCGAGCGGCGAGCGGCGAGTGCCGAGTGGCGAGTGGCGGCGCTCGCGCTTGTCATTAAAAGATAATAACCGTAATAAACTAATAAAATTGAAACTGGGTGAGAGAGCACAGCTGCAAATAATAATAAAAAAATGAACAAAATCACAATAAAACACTATTCGACTGACGCCTGGACTTGGACCTGTGCCGAAGCCAGAGGCGGGTCACGGGACTTTTTGCTAGGATCGTAAACACTCCAAGGCAAGTGGATGTTATCTGTTTCATGTGCTTGCCATGAACCTGTGAACATGACCATAAGAAGTCAAGTTGTTCGGCATCTAGGCCCTCTTATAAAGACGGCTTCAATCTAAATGCATAAGAAGACACAAGTGGAGTAAGGCATTGATTAAAACCCAATTCTGATTAAAAGAAAAGCATTACGGAACCGAACTAACTATGGACAACTACATATATATCTTTAATTGAAAAACCCAAAGAACAAAAAAATGATTTGAGTATTAAATCAAAATGAAATAATAATAAAAAGGATGTGATTTTAGAAGGCTGAGTTCATTCTGAGTCGGAAAGTAGCGATAGCGAAGGTTGGCAATAAGCCATTTGATCTTTAATTTGTCTGAGAAAACACCGTGCATAAGTTCACGTATCGCAATATGAAAATCCCTCAAATAGTACCTATATATGCTTGCCTTTTTTCAGCAGGCATGCAACTCATAATTTGAGATAAGCATCAACTGCTGAAAGAACCACTGAAAACTCAACTCAATTGAGTGAGAGTGCGACACAGACTTGACTGGCAGGCACTCGGAATCTATTGAGTGAAATGGCGCTGAAGTTCGACTCTGTGGCGCGAAAGCACTCGGAGTCATAGTTGTAAAAAAATAACGCTCTGCTGTTGCACATCAAATTTATTCCTTAATTTGATACACTTTTATTGCGGCAGTTTATGGCTTGTTTTGGCCCTTGCGGTTCGCCTCAGCCCAAATCCGGATCACTACCCGCTTACGGATCTAAACTCCGGCATCAAGTCAGCGTGGCGGCGATGAATGTGTTTTTAAGTGAATCAGATGACGATTATAAAATGCTTTGTCACGCAATCATTTTTTAATCCTTCGACGTTCTCGCCCATAGCCGTGTTTTATGGCTCCAGCTGCAGGTCTTCCTCATCTTCGCGCTCCCGCTTTCAGCAGTAAACGTAGAGAGCAGCCCCTGTCAGAAATGTGGGTTTATGTGTCAGCCTTTAGCCATGCAGTTGGCACCGCTCTCGAGTCGACGGTGCATTCCTCAAACGACTTAATAAAAATTACACGAAACCCAACCAAGTGCCTGAACGTCTTGTTTCCTCTGCCACTGTCTGTCTGTCCACATTTATTGCATTTTAATTGCACCAATGATGTACCGCTTTGTAAATTACGCAAATGAAAAATATAAATCACAAATCTAATTAAAAGCTGAAGAAAACAGTCGTTAAAACGAAGAACATCTCGAGTACTTGAGAGTACTTAACATTCCTACTTACCACACACGGAGCTTAAATGCCTCATATAATTATGTGCAGCTGTAAATAGAACACATTATATATTAGCTAAGAATATGGGTATGTAAATAATATTTATTTTTACTGCTGCTGTAAATATATATATCGGCAATAATTCTATGAATACGTTTTACTTTTTTGTTGACAAGAGTAAAATGATAATTAAAAATTAAGAGTCAATTTGCAACATATATATATAAATATATATATAAATATATATTAATCACATATATATTGTTACAAAAACGTTAAAATAATTTTCGAGTTGACATATTTGCCTAGTTATAATAACCTGTCCCAAAATTCTGTGGCTTAAGTAAAACTGAAGAGAGTTGAACATCTAAGAGATATTTTGCAATTATGAATAACGCCTAGACAACAATTGATAGATACTTGACAAAATAGGAAATATAGATAGATATTTAATCTTTAGTAACTCTAAAAGGTTGACTAGTTTGTTAAAATCTCTTCATCTCTTAGACATTTCAATACAACCAATAAATTATAAGTAGTTTGTCTTTTATATCTTTTTTT